ATGTCATCCTGTGAAACTAGGGAGGGGTGGAACTTCACAGTATTGCTGCGTAAGTAAACTTCAGTGAATTTATGCTTCTTGAACATTACCTGCTAATGGATCTGGATTTTGGAGAACATGGCATTCTGCTGCTTTGTAGCTGGACTTTTGTGGAGAGGACACTGTACTTGATGTTAGCATCACAGTGTAATATCCCAACTTTGTCTCATGGAGGGGTTTCAGCTTACTGAATGAGGCTAATAATTTTTGCCAACTTTAGTACCTGTTTTACTGTCTTTGCCAAAGCATTATTAAAATGCCGTAGTGAAAAAATGAATTTTATACTCTTCAGCATTGAATGAAGTGTTTGTATATAGAATCCCTAATTCTGTAATGAAAGGCATTTTCTAAGCAGTGTGTTTTGTTAGGCCTTTAATAGTGGTATAGCAGGATGTTCAGAAGATGATGTGCCTAAGAATTGAGTAAATAGTTGTATAGCTTGAATGTGGATGTGATGTAACTGTGAAGTAACAATGCAAATACAGGGAAATCTTCTACTTTAATGGCTGTCTAATTTTCAAAATGCTTCTTAAGAGGAACTGAAACCTGATAGGTCTGTAAAAGGTACCTCACTTGACCATCAATGACAAAATAAACTGTCATAGTTAAATCGTAGTCATTATTTTTGGTACCTGATCATAAGACTATTTCCAGTGTTTTGGAGAAAACAGATGTGCTTAGATTCTATTATATGTTTTTTCACTTCAGCTATCCCTTGTAATATTAGTTGTCTCATCAGAATTATCATTCTGATCTTAATCTAGAAAGGATTTGGCTGTTTTAAGGCGATGATTGTTTTTTTTAAACAATAACATAATGCCTGTTAGATTCTATGATTAGGTAGTGTCTGTTCTTCCAGCAAGTTGAGCTATTTCTGTGTTTACAAGCATGAAGCCACACATGTAAGTGATTCCATTTAAACCTTTTCTATAACATTAACACTTGTGTATTGCTTTACAGCTCAGCATGATAGAGTATAATAAACTTCATAGTGAATATGGCTTATGAGAATTTTTAGTGGGCTTTCTGTTAAGCATTAAACAGTTCTGGTGATGTATGTAAGACTTTGTACATTTCTTGTGTTCTTAGTATTAGTAAATCTAAAGCTGTCCAAGGTGCATGTAGGAGAATAAGTGCATATCCCCCATGGTGCTGCCCCCCCCCCCCCCCCAAGTTAAATTAGATTGAAGTTGGATGTTGTGTTCTGCCAACAAACTCTCAATGGAGTATTCTAATGCATTCCTCAAATTACAGCAATGCATTAGCCAATGTTTTCAGATGCATTTAACTTTTGGGGTAGAAAGAAATTGACTTAATCGCAAAAATGCCTAAGCCAAAATTTGGGGAAGCTTTAATGCACTCTCTTGATTCTGTAGACTTAATCTGTTTCAATTTAGTATAAAGTCCTTTGTTTTTCTGTAACTACTTGAATTGTAGATGGTTTATACATCCACACTTCTGCCTCTCTGAAGAATGCTGTGGATAGGTGAAGGAGGTCCAAGTGAATATGGTAACTTAGCTGTTTCACTTAGTGAGTATTCTACCTTTGCTTTTTATACCCACATTTTAACTGGGTATGATAGCTATCCACTAATGTAGCACTGAGCAGTTGCAGGGGTAAGGGAGAGAGAAAAGGGAAGGAAGTTCAGAATTGTGATTCTCAAACTAATTTGGCTAGTGGAGGTTATTTCCTGCTGTGTAGGAACATGCATGCAGTGAGCAGTTCGGAGTTCGTGGTCTGCTTCTGCCCAAGGTGGGTGACATACCCATATGAACTAGAAGTTTTAGCTTCCTTATTGGGGTACAGCATGTTGATGGCTTATTAGTTGCCTTACAGTAGCTAAAGTGCCAGAATTCAATGTTTGAATGCAGTTTCTTTTCACTTTTTGCTGGAGCTCACAAGTGTGATTCAGAAATACTGTTCTGTAGTAAAAGAAGCTACATGGCTGGAACTGAGTGTTTTAAAACTAGTTTTGTGGTGTGTAACTCATGAACCAGGAACTGAGGATTATAATTTCAAGCTCTTCCTGTAATGATCTGTTAGCTGAAATGATTCTTAAAGTACTCTAGTTGCTTGTATTTTTTTCAGGTGCAGGCAATGATTTAAGAGCTACATCAATCATACAGAAAGCAAGCTTCATAAGCTCAGGTTTTCTGTGGGAGCTCCTGTCCTCCCATAAATCTCTTCCATCTGTTTTGCTAGGGAATAAAATGTTGGTTTTAATTCCTTTCTAGACAAAGCTAATAAATTGGATTTTTTTTGATGGTGAGATACAGGTTTCTAGATGAGGAGGATTTGTGGAATGTGTTCTTCTCTCCCTCTTCCTATTTTGAGAAGAACTCTTTGAACTTAAAGATTTGTTAAGCTGAAGAAGTGTCAATATAGCTGTACCAATTGGGAACTCTTGTGCACTGCAGTTTTGTCTGCAGTCTCGTGCTTGGTTGCTGCCTTGTGTCAGTGTGCTTTTTTCCCTGACACAGTAAGTGGTATGCTAATACCTTCGCCATCGCTGTCCTCAGGAGGGTCAAAGCAGTCTCATCTACTGCTTGAGCAGATGCTGAACATGAATTTGTGAAATAAAAAGGCAGATGAAGATGCCTCAGTGGGCCAACTACATTAATAAAAGCTTGATTTAGAAAATGCCTGAGAGACGGTATAATCTAGACTCCTAGCTTCATGATGTCTATTACCACCTCTAGGAGTGGTGTAACAGGTTCTTAAAGATTTACAACATGAGACTTCGGTAGCTTTGCCAAACAATCTAAAACATGTGTTTATCCTGCCTTTTGAAAGGTGTTCCTGATCTGTAATCTGAGTCTGTGTTCTTCAGCTAAGGCCTGTTTGTTCTACAGATGTGGAAAAAAATGCCCTTCAGGGAGAGCTTGATCCACCTGGGGAAAAAAATCTTACCTGTTTCATGCAGTTTCTTCATGTTAAACAACATCGCTGCATTTCATTTTCTTTGGGTTCTTCTTCGAGGGCTTTCTTGCCTTTCTCACTTCAGATTCTCCTCCAGTCAGTTCATCTCCTCTGAAATGCAGCACCCAAAAAAGGATGTGGGACTCCAGAATAAGTCTTGCTGTGGCAGACTATTTTGCAGGCTACACATGTGTGAATAAATTTTCAGATTCATGTTTGGACTGTAAGCTGCAGTCATTGAAGATATTACTTGGAATTGTGGCCTAGCCAGATGCTCAGCAGGCAGGGTATTTTTTTGTAGCTAACCAGTCCTGCTTATTAAAGTCTGTCTTAGCCCTGGTGTTACCTACAGATCAGGGATGAGACCTGTGTTCCTGCAGCAGACCTGCCTCTGGGCTTGCATTGCTTTTTCTTCCCCCACTACTGGTTGAGGAAGCCTATAGCTTGCATTTGGATTGCAGCTGCCTGCCAGGGAATGTTTATAGCAGTTTTCAGGTGTGGAATTGCTGGTGATTATCCTGTTTGCCCAGGCAGTGTAGTAGGTCAGATCTTGTGCAAAGCTGTACTATTTCTAAGTTTGAAGTATCATGGTTCCTGAACTTGGCTAGTCTTTTGAAGGTGTCAATGAGCAAACATTTTCTTCCCCTTTGTGATAACAAACTTCATATCTGTGCTCCAAAGACCTCTGTTTTGGGACTGCTGAATTGGTATTCTTTTGTAGAAGCCCTTATTTTTATTGCGTGTTTTGAAAGCAGATGAACCATTTTATCTGGAACTTCACTGGAAAACTGAGGCAGTTATCTGCTACTGCTAAACTTCAGTGGTTGAGGCTGAGGTTGTCCAAGCTGTAAGTAACTGGTCATAACTTAATAATGGAAATTGCTTTCAGCTTTAGCTGATTATGTTTGGGTTTAGCTCATGTTTGTGTAAGGGAGCTTTCCTTGTGCCTAATTATAAGGAGGGACCAGACTGTAGATCAGTTAACAGTCTATAGATCAGTTAACAGCATAGCTGAAACTCAAAGGCTATCTAAAATTTGATGGGGGTTGTGTGTACGTTTTTCCACTCTATCAAACTGCCATACAATGGTTTCATGCCTCTTCCATGAGAGGCATTTTTTAGCAGTACAGCATTAGGAAGATATTACAAGTGCTACAGAACAAGCATAAGAAGCTCACACTGAACAAGTAACATGCTAGGCATAGTTCTACATTTAAGAAAATAAGGGCGTACTGTTTGTGTAAGGGTGGCTTGCTCACATTAAAGTTCTGCTGTTGTTTTCGTGCTTTCCTAGGACATACAGCTGAAACTGCATAAGGAAATCATGCAGCTTCTGTTGATTCTTAAGGGAAGCTGGATGAGGGGAAAAGTCATAGAACAGACTGTGATGTAGATGACCACAAATGATGCATTTCACAGTGACTTTAATTATGATATGGATATTCATATCTCCTTGGTATACCTCTTTCCTGTAACTTTCCCTGGAAAGTTGAGGATTGCCTTTCACAAGGGTTCCTGTTACACTGTCTGGGTGTCTCATTGATGTGTATTGGTCAGGAATCCATTTAGACCAGTGAGTCTTAAGACTGAGCATACTGCAAAAGCATTGATGTCCTGTGATGCACAAGAATCTGCTGTAAAGAAACTGTTAATTCATGTGTCTCAGCTTGTTTTAGATCTTAGCAGTCTGAGTTCGTTTGTATATCAAAGTAATAATGTAGATCTTTCCTCTCCTAAGTTTTGTCTAAACATATCATGCATTTAGACTTCAACACCTCTCAGGCCTAAGGAGACATCATGAAGAGAACTACATAATTAGAAATATATATATTAATGGAAAATAATCTTTCTGAATATCTTCTGAGTAACTATAGCGACCTTATTAGTTACGTGTGCCACTGACTGCTTGCACCAAGACCTGAAACTGCTTTTTCCTTTTAGATAAGGAGAATCAAACTGCCCCCTAGGTATTCCCAAATATTATATTTTAACAGATACCATGTATGACACTAACCGCTTTCCATATATATTTTAGAAAATCTCCTTGAAATATCTGAAGTCCATATGGCTATGTATGATGAAGATATCTTGAAAAATCCCTTCTATTTGGCCATTCAGAAGCGGCGTCCTGATCTATGCAGTAAAGTTGCAGAACTCCATGGTATTGTAAGTATAAATAAGTAGATTTAAAAGCTGTTTATTAAATATTAACTATATGAATTTAAATCATATGCCTGCTATGATGCATGCAAAGATTAGTATGAGCCTACAAAACTTGGAAGTGGAACAGAGCAACTTTTAGTTTAAGTTGCTTGTTATTTCCTAACACAGACCTCTTGATATATTGCATGGTAATAAAAGATCAAAGTTGGTGTTTTTAAACTTTACAGGAAGCTTATTTTCTTTGCTATGAACTAAAGTTACATATTCTCCCATTTGCTTGTAACTTTAAATGGGATTGACCTTTGAAATCCCTGGTGAACAGACAATCCTAACTTCTGACAGGATTTTACATAGCAAAACAAAGCCATTAAACTGAGCTGGAATAAAAACTCCAGTCTTTCAGATTTCTAATCTGGCTATTCTGCAGTCTTCATCCAAAATTGTGCGGAGATGACATTAAACTTGGAGTTTATTGTTACCCGATTATAAAATACAGGGTTGTTTCGGCTGTGTGTTATTTAAGATGATGTGATTAGTGAAACGCTAAAATCTGTTTTCTGTTCTGGCTGTATTCTAACACCATTTTGGAAGGCTTCTGAGTACTGAAAGAACCACTTGCTTTATGCTTCTCTTCCTTGACCATGACATATATTTCTTTTCAGCATGTATACAGTGTTTGTTGTATTCATAATGTGTTGCTTTCTGATTAAGAATTTCTCTCCAACTGCTGATGTGTGGTAGACCCAAGGTGTTTTTTACTGTAGTTTTTTCGTTTCTGATGGATTTTTTTTTAGTTTGAAAATATACTTCACTTTTATCTGCCTAATCTTAAGTCATTAAGGTGACTGGTGCTCTGTAATGTAAGATTTCATCTCCTTCTCTCAGTATTGTTTGCTTCAGTTACATCTGTCATAGTTTTTTGGATAAGTCACTAAATGAAACTTCTAGGTTAATCACTGGACTGTGAGTCTGTCAATGGCCTTTCCTTTTTATTTATTTAAACAAAAGCACCTATAGCTGCTACACATTTGCTAGTAAATGTTTATAAGCCAGATTCAATTGCTTGCCTCTAAGGTGCAAAAGCTATTGGTGGTTAGCTGTTGATACAAGGCATTTATCTCTAAAGCATGATGTAACTCTTTTAGGTGTTAGTTCCATGCAAAGGAAGCCTTTCAAGCAACAGTCTTTCTACCTGCCAGTTTGAATCTTATGTTCTGAAGCCGCTAGAAGAAAATTTTCAGACCTTAAATGGAAAGGTATTTCTGTTTTGATATCTGAATGTATCTTGTGGACACTCCAATAAATGATTTGCTGCAACTGATGACTGATAATGTGAACTAATGGTTACAGGAGAGGTAGCTAGGAGTTATAGCTAACTGGCAACAGTACTAAGTTGCTCATCTAAGCCAAAGTTCTCAGGGATATACTGCTTTCTAGCAAAAGCTGTGTTTTGGCCTATATACAAGAATAATTGTGTAAGCTGGTTTCAGCTTACTACTTTGCTGAAGCAACTTTGACAATTTATCTGTGTTTTGTGGTGTGGCAGAAGTGCCTTTATCACTTAGTTAAGAACTGTCTTTCTAGCTTTCAGGCAAATAGTAGCCTGCCTATATGGTACATTGATGCAAGTTCACCAAGGCTTAATACAAAATTGTGATGGTATCCAGTTGTATCTGAGGCCTGATGTATTAATTCAGTAAATGGAGTAGAAACGGACTCATGTAGCAGAAGCTATGATAACTAAGGCTAATGTGGCATAGGATCACATTTTTTCACTTGTAATTGTGCAGTCAGAGACCTTGCACCTGTTTGCAGGCTGTCATCTAGATCTTGCTACTGCAGATGTCCTCACTGGAGCTGCTTGAGAAAATAAAGCTGAGTGAGAAATGTAGACAAGATGTGTGGTGTTTTCTGAAGCTGGACTTAGGCCTCAGTTCTAAGTTGTTTTTCAATTTCTCTTCTACTAAAAATGCTCTAAAATCTGCGAATGGTCATTTGGACCTTGGAGATTGTCTGAAATCTCTAGTAGTAGACTTGTAAAGAAAGTAGGTATAAGCAAGGTTTAGCTAGCTGTTGTAGACTGAAGGAGGCTTTCTTTCAGTGTCTACAAAGCACAAGAATATGAAAACTCTTGAATCTGGGGCTTTCTTGTCTTGCAAGATTCTCTCCTTTCCCTGGAAATGTAACTGTTCAATGCAGAAGCCAGAGACTAACTTTCTTGGTGGAGTTTTACACCTGACCTGTTTTTTGTTTTGTTTCAGGAGATCTTCATACAAGGAAACCTCATCATTTTAGGAACTGGTTTTAATTATCATCTCTCAGTACCTGTTCTTTTTGAGGAAACATTTTACAATGAAAAAGAAGAAAGCTTTAGTATTTTATGCATAGCTCATCCATTGGAAAAAACAGAAAGCTCAAGTATGTATTGAAGTGTTAACTTGGTGGTCTTGTTTGCATAGTGAGCAAATTAGTACGTTTGATATGCTTAGTACACTTCCTTCGTTCTGAAAAATGTTGGCTTGGTTGAAAGCTCTCGGCACTTATTGGTCTGCTGGGGCAGATGTTGATATGCTGCTGGAGAGAAATACTAAGTTTCTGTCAGGCAAACTTCATTCTGTAGGGTCTATGCACCAGTCTCAGCACTAAAAGCCATCAGTGGAATACTTGACCCAGTGTGATTTTTTTTTTTTAGCAATGCTCAGTTTAGTGCTGACTACTTAAAGGGATTTACTCTTAAATGTGACATGTGTCTTGAGATGCAACGTGAATGCACAAAAAGCTGGAGATTCTTTCATGATTACTTCATCAGCATAGTTATGTAGCAGCTCTTCTGGTGGTAGTCCGTGTTAATTTTTGTCCTAGTACTGAAAGTTCTCTTGATAAGGCTGGAACACTATTTTCAAGGCTACTGTTAAAGCTGTGAATGTAACAAGATTTCCTTGTGGATTTGGGTAACAATCTGTGTTTACCTATTAAAAGGAAGAGAAGCTTCTTAAAACATGCTTTTTCTGACATAAAAACTTCTAGTCTTCCTGAATACATAAGGATATCTGTTTGAAACAAATGACAGTGTGAAATAATACTGGGGTAGTATGAAAATAATACTGAGAGAAGTGTGAAAGTTGTTCTGAAAAAGAAAAAGCTGGCATACATATAGACTTAAATTCTATAAATATCTAAATCTAAAAAACTATTATGGCATTCCTTTTTTGGCCATTACTTAATGTAGTTGTATAGCAGTCTTTCAGGAGTGAGGTAATTGATAATTTCAAAAGTAATTTGAAATGAATGAGATCTAAGCCTGTTATTAGTTGTCTGCCTTTGATTGCAAGTGAAAGACTTGCCTACAAAAAATTTTTTGAAAAAACAGTGAGTTTTAAGTGAGGATATGGTTTAATGTTTACATGAAGCAGCTTTGTTCTCTCATTCAGAGAAAGTGTATCTAAATAAAGTATAGGTTACGTAAAAGATCCAAGATGGGATTTTTACAGCTCACTTAGAGCACATGGACTTCCTGCATGGACGTTCAGTCAATACTGTAGTGTGCTTTTCTGCTTTCAAGCTTGTTTTGCGCTCAGATTGAGTTGTGTTTGTGGCAATAAATTAACCCCAGGGTAAAAAAGCATGAGAAATCAGGTTTAGCTATTCCAAATAAACGCTTTACGTAAAAGGTAAGAAAGCCTACTCTAAATGTGATGTGTTAAATTCTTTTAATTATACGTAAAACCTTCAGTTAAAGGTACGTTTTATTGCACACAAGTTCCCTGTGAATGTAGGGACAGAAAGTACTCTACCATGCATACATATTAAACCTGTATGTTAATTCTTGGCTTTTATTTTAGGTGAATCTACAGCTTCATCAAACTCCTATTCTCTTAAAAATATTGAAGATGTTAGAGAATTCTTGGGAAGGCACTGTGAGAGATTTGATAAATATATAGGATCTTTCTATAGAACATTTAAAGAACATGAAAGGAAAAGCCTCCGCCACTACATAGTCAGTATCTTGCTTCTTGATGTTTAATTTACTAAACATAATTCGCTTCACTGTTTTGGATATCTTTGTCTTATTGAGCTTTTCTATGTCAGAGTAGTCTATAGAGTTGAGGAACGTGGGAAGGGAGAAAGTAGATTTTTTTTTAATTGTGAATTACCACATATTAACTATTAGGTAAAGGCAATTTTTTAGCTAAAAATCTTACCATAGTGCATGCTTCTAAGGCAGGGAAGACTTCCTTTCTTTGCTTATTTGTGCTTGTTGCTTCAAGTCAGACTAGCCTGAATCTAATTGCTTTTTTCTTTTCTCCCTTCTAGGATTCTGTTAATGCACTTTATACCAAATGTCTGCAGCATCTTTTGAGAGATTCGCACTTGGTAAACACTTACTTCACTAAATGCATAGTACATAGTGTTACTTGAGCAATAAGGTATCTAACTTTCTCTGCTGTTTGTATGGCTTTCCTTTTCTAGAAGATGCTTGCAAAGCAAGAAGAGCAAATGAATCTGATTAAACAAGCAGTTGAAGTAAGCATCTGAAATAAAGGAAAACAATTAGCAAGCTATTTTTAACTCCCACTTTCATGCCTAAAGTACTGTTATATTTTTTCTACAGATGTATATCCACCATGCTATTTATGATCTAGTCTTTAAATATGTGGGGACTATTGAGGCAAGTGAGGTAAGTGTGGGCCCAGGCCAACCTCATGAAGTTCCACAAGGCCAAGTGCAAGGTCCTGCCCCTGGGTCGGGACAATCCCGATGAGTGGCACTGAGTGGATTGAGAGCAGCCCTGCGGAGGAGGACTTGGGGGTGCTGGTGGATGAAAAACTGAATATAAGCCAGCAGTGTGTGCTTGCAACCCAGAAAGCCAATTGCATCCTGGGCTGCATCAGAAGTGTGGTCAGCAGGTCAAGGGAGATGAGTCTTCCTGCTCTGCTCCACTCCCATGAGATCCACCTGGAGTACTGTGTTCAGCTGTGGTGCCCCCAGTGTAAGAAAGACATGGACCTGATTGAGTGGGTCCCAAGGAGGGCCACAAAGATGATCAGAGGGCTGAAGCACCTCCCCTATGAGGACAGGCTGAGAGGGTTGGGCTGCTTCAGCCTGGAGAAGAGAAGGCTCTGCGGAGACCTTATAGGGGCCTTCCAGTGCTCAAAGGGGGTCTACAGGAAAGGTGGGGAGGGACTCTTTACCAGGGAGGGTAGTCATAGGATGAGGGGTCATGATTTCAAACTGAAAGAGGGGAGATTTAGATTAGGTGTTAGGAAGAAATTCTTCACTGTGAGGGTGGTGAGACACTGGAACAGGTTGCCCAGAGAAGCTGTGGCTGCCCCTGGCAGTGTTCAAGGCCAGGCTGGATGGGGCTTTGAGCAACCTGGTCTAGTGGGAGGTGTCCCTGCCTATGGCAGGGAGTTGGAACTAGATGGATCTTTAAGGTCTCTTCCAGCCCAAACTATTCTATGAAGTTTGATTGCTAAAGGTCAGTTACATTAACCTAGTGCATTTTAGAAAAACTGTTGCCTTTCTGTTGATTAGGATGCTGCTTTTAACAAAATCACGAGGAGCCTTCAAGATCTGCAGCAAAAAGACATTGGAGTGAAGCCTGAGCTCAGGTGAGAGAGAAGATTGTGGACTCCTCAGAGTCACTGAGATCCTGTCTGAAGTAGGTCTTGGGGCAGCCAAAAAGTGTCTTCCTTTAGACAATAGCAAGTTTTTCTTGTACTTCATTCCTTTCAGATGGAAAAGTAAAGATTTGCAAGGGTCATTTTAGGGTAGTCTTTGCATTGATCATCTCCTTTGCTTTTATATTCTTATGCTTCCCTCTCCATATATGGGTACAGAAATACAAGTGTACTTGGAGTAGAGGTGGAAATGTTTCAATATCATTCTTCATTTCAGCTCTGAATAAGTTAAAACTTGGGTTTTGGACATCCTGCACAGGAACTCTGTATGCTAACCATTTCTTTCAAATTCATAGTTTTAATATACCACGTGCAAAGCGAGAACTGGGTCAGTTGAACAAATGTACTTCCCCTCAACAGAAGCTACTTTGTCTACGGAAAGTGGTACAAATTATTATGCAATCTCCTAGCCAAAGAGGTCAGTAACTAGTGAATTAATAACTTATTTTTTAACTTTTTTTTTAACCAGTACACACAAAGCGCTCTGGTATATAAACAACTGCTTGAATAGTACTTGTGGATTGAACACAATTAGGCTGGGGTCTGCCTTACAGATCTCTAAGCAAAGCAAAATGGAGGCAAGATAGACACTTCAGTATTTTCTCATGGGGCTGAGGTGGGGTACTTGGTTAACTTGTTTTACCTAGAACATGTGAGAAGCTTGCATGTGTTAGGACACTTTCTCATGCAGAAGAGTTCAGGGTGATCTGTTTTAAACACTGAGGTTTGCTGCTAGATCATTCTTGTCTATTTTTTCCATGCTTCTTGATAATCTTGAAATTGATACTCTTAAGATGCATCTTTTGCAAAAAGATGGGGGTGGGGGGGCAAACAAGCCTTCTATATGCTGCATTCAAAGTGCTTCTGTGGGTTACAGAAATTATTCTGTGATAGGAAAAGATGAAGCTCTTAACCTGGTATTTATTTCATCTAGCATGGAGAGAGAAGATGCTTTCACTAAGCAAATGGAGTAGTACAATGAACTTAGGCTTTTCCTATTAGATCTCTTCCTTTCTCCAGGAGGATTCCTGGGTTATGGAAAAGTGTGTCAGCTTTGAGGGTAGGTTTTTTTTCCCCCCTCAAATTTCAGAAATCTTGAGCTCGTGCTCTAGCCCTTTCTGTATAGGAAGGAGGGAATGCTAGTCAAATATTGCAGTTTGTACAGTACAAACTGTATTTAGTTTTTGGCTCCTGGCAGCCTGTTTTAGAGTGAGATTGAGAACACTTGAAGGGCTGCCTTAGTTACTCGATGCATTTTGTACTAGTAGATCTGGCCCTTAGCCTTGGTAGGTGGAACTCCTTTTATAGGTATTGGTCTTGATTGGAACTATGATGTGACTAACATGAGATGTAAATTCTGGTTTTTTTTTTTAGTTAACATGGAAACCATGTGTGCAGATGATCTTCTCTCTGTTTTGCTGTATTTACTTGTAAAAACAGAAATCCCAAACTGGTATGTAACTGTATTTTGTCAATATATAGCTCCATTGTATAGTCTTACATGTGATGCTGTTGTAGGGGCAGATGTTCCTAAACATGTAGTAATAACTTCCTGAAAGTGTGAAAGGGGCTGATGTAATGCAGAAAACTTTTTATTAGGAAAACCAGCAAAGATATATTACAGGTGTGTCTGAATTAAGGACCTATCAGGAATTCAAAGCGCTGTGGTTTTTTTGCTTTTTGGATTCCTAGCCTAGAAAAATGTTGTAGTGGGAGGCCATCTCGTACCAGATCTGCGTGTCAATATAGATTTTGCAGGCTGGTCCTTCATCTGTGTTTGGAGTTGTGAAACCTTTTATGTAGCATCTAAATGTTTGATGTATTTCATGGAGAGGAACTAGATTGGAATGCTTAATTGCTTGCTGCTAGCATATGCCATTGTGTTTATCTCTCCTCACTATCAGTAAAAGTATATCTAAACTTTCCACCTGCACGTGAGCTGAGTTTTAGTGTTGGCGTATCCCCTATCTGAGATTAGAGTTTTTCGTTTAAAGCGTAGCTATCACTTTACATGGATGCTTATGGTGCTTGAAACATAAACACATTTGAAATGCGTGAAACAATCTCCCACTGCTGTTCTTATCCTGTCCTTCATGTTTCTTTATATCCAATTAATAACTCTTCATTGAATAGTTAAGAGATAAGTAGGGTTATGATCCACCCACAAAGCTCAGAACAGCCATAGTATTGCTAGCCTAATAATCTTTCTGGAAGCTTTTTCTTAAGCCACACTTGTTGTCTGCCTGGATTGCCTAAGGTGAGTTGATGTATTAAGATATGTCATGCTAGTGTTTTACTTTTAGTGGTTCATGGCTCTGACTTCTTATTTCAGGATGGCCAACTTGAGTTACATAAAGAACTTCAGGCTTTGCAGTTCAGTGAAGGATGAATTGGGATACTGTCTAACCTCAATTGAGGCTGCAATAGAATACATACGGCAAGGCAACCTCTCTGACAGATCAACAGTAAGCTGCTCTTAAAGTCTGTCAAATGTGTATTTGATAAGCTTGTAGGACTGTGTACCAGTGTGGTAGTAAATCCAGTCAGAGGATACAAACAGCTAATGTGAGTTTTTTTTGCACTCCGAGTTGAGGTAACTATACCTGAAGCAAATGCTAAAATAATCCAAATAGTTACAATGAAGTCCTGATGCTGTAGCAGTATTTGTTCATTGCATGCTCCTTGAGGGCGTAGTTAAATATCAAATCTGCTTCATATAATAAGAAGAAAAATGACAGCACTATTTTCAACAGCTCACTTTTCAGTAAGTTTAGTATCTCCTGTTTGTACTCTTATCATGGTTGTGAAAGCAATGCAGTACTTGATAGTAGGCATAGCTTAAGCAGATTTTTTTCTTTAATGATTTTAAAAAGCTTAGCTATGCTAGCAGAATGGAGATTGCAGTGTAATTTAGAATTATTCAGTAAGTTTTTTGTACTCTAAAGACTTAATGTGTTTGCAAGTGCAGATTGCTATGTTGTGCAAAGTTGATAATTTAATGGGAGTGCAGGACTATGATAAGGTGGTGTTTGAAGGTCAAATATTGCTCTTGGGATCTCAAACCCAGCAGGGGCGGGGAGTTTGTGGATGCATGAGTAACTTCCTACTGGACAACTACAGCTTCTATGAATTGGGTCAAATCCCTGCAGGCCAATCAAGAGTGATATTAATGTGACTTTAGAAACTTCTATGCTTGAAGAAATTTGTAGCTTATTCAGTGAAGGAATCCAGTCTTACTGCTCCTGTAAAACTTTCTCCTGTTGCAAAATTAGGTTTTCCTGATCTGATGTGGAAATCAAAAGGAGTGAACTTGGAACCAGAGCGAGTTCAATGTGTCTCAGTCTGCCCAACTGCAAAGCACTGGAATCTAATTGCAGGGGCCAGAATGATGGCTCAGTGTGCAGGGCTTGGGATGGGGCAACCTGGGGCACAACTTAAAGAAGAAGCACTTAAAGTATCATTTTAGCCTCTTGTTATTTTTGGTTTTGTTCTTTTCTGAGAACTTTCCATGAACCTGTCATATGTCGGTTTGTTTTGTACACTCAAAAAAAAAACAACAACAAAAAACAAAACAGAAAACATGAAAAAGTCCATTTTGTGTAAAGAGACTGTGGTATTTCTTGTCTGTAATGCTGTATTGAATTGTTTAAAAAAAAAAATAAAAATGTTAGTTTAAAGGAAAACCTGCCAAACAATTTTGCTTCCTGCAGTCACTTGGCTATCATTAACAATCGATATACAAATAGCAATGCTGGTGGTCTGGATGGAGAACTGGAACCAAAGTAGAATTTTCTTCCACAACACTGCCTGCAAGCTGAAAACAGGAATATACTGTTCTTGAAATTTCTAGAATAAAGACTGTTTCCTATTAAATGTCTGGTCCTATCCCTCCTTATATAGCTAAGGATAGCAGGTTTTTTATACTGGGATTGCCCTCAAGTGAGGCAAATAAGATACTATATTTCTTTGAGAGGCATCTTGAAAGATGAACTGTGTATTTAAAAAATCTAAATGAGGGCAGTCTCATACTGCATCAATATCAGAGCAAGCAATAAGTGTTCCTGTCCATACCTCAGCTGGATCAGCTCCAGACCTAGAGTGCTAGCCTCTTCCTCACTTCCATGTGTGTACCCTGGGTGTGCAACAGGAACTCCTTCTATATTGCCTTTCATAGAGTCAACATGGCTTGAAGGCAGCACCCTGAGATGAGATGGAAAACAGCAGAACCTTGAAGACAAGGAACTAGGTGACCCCCTGCCTTCTAGCACAGCTGAAAAGGAAAGAGCTAAATCACCCTTTTCTGTAGTGTAGAGTAAGGGAGAAGGTGGCACACAATGAAGAGGAAGAAACTAGGGGCCAAAAAGCCCCTTGACTGAAAACTGAAAAAGGGTAGTTAGGAGGTAGAGGAACATGGTAGGAATTTCTGGTAGCACTGTTCTCCCTTCATTTCCTTTATTCTCTGGTAAAAGAGATAAACTCTGTTTAAAGCAGTGGCAGCTGTCATGTTGATGCCCCATGGTTTCCTTTTTTCAGATTGTGCTGGGAGTGGTTGTGGGATTTCAGTGAGCAGGAACATTGCTGTGCCCTGGGGCTTCATTCCATACCCTTATGTGGCTACACTTAATTTTATAGCTGGCTTCAGATGGAACTTCTGGCAGCTGAGTAATGCTGTTGTCCAATCCCTAATGAAGCTAACTACACAAAGAAAATTCAGCAGGGAACTAATGTACCCTGTGGGATAATGGGCATATTATCACCCTTATGTCAGTAAGAAAATTGCACTTAGGAGACACCTGCCAAATCCCTTCACCCAAGGTCATGCAAGCCCTGGAAAGACATTTGGTTGGGGTGGGGAGAGGAGCATGTAACTGGTAGCATGAAAGATTAGATTTTATTTTCTGGGAGTTGTCAACCTTATTTAATTAGAATTCCAGTTAGTAAGTGTTGGACCTTAGTTGTGTTCCTATGCATAGCTAGTTCAGAGGGGTTGAAGTAAGGTATAAAGCAGGGAGCTGGAGCTAGCCACTAGGGAATGGGCAGCATTTTGACCCTTCTGTGGAAAGAGCTGTACGTGGCAATGAAGTTTGCATGGAGGAAGTGCAGGTGGGAGAAGCAAGGAAAGGAAGGTTTGAACACAAACTGAGGCTAATAAAGTGTTTGGGGGTGTGTGTGTGTAGAGATAATTTCCCTCAGTCATCAGTTGTTATCTGTGAATGTCACCCTGGATAGATAATTATACAGGTACAACCTCATAGGTAAAATATTTCTTTAGTACAGAGTAGTGTTAGATAAAAATCATTAATGATTGGATGTGTATTTTCTAGACAAGAGACTTAAAATACCAGAGTCCCACTTAAAGCAATCTATTTTTTTTTTAAATTCCTGGAGTGCAAGTAAAGCTGGTACAAACATGTTTTGTCTTTGAAGGCCCAAACTTGCTTAGTACTTCGACCGATACCTGATTCTTCTGCTATTCTATATTTCATTTTCAAAGATATGTAGGGTTTCTTTTTTCTGATTTATGTAATAAATAAGATAATACCTCTGCATAAGGATTGCTGCCTCAAGTGACTCTCTGAAATAATTATTCTACATGGGGAACACTTCTTTTGTAAAATACACTGTGGAAGGAGCAGTGCTAAAACTACAGTAGGACTTGCTAGTTGTTACTTAGATTCTCCATAGTGTAAGTATAAAGCTGTCTGTGAACATTCATTCATATTAGAATATTAGACTTCAGAAACTTACATGAGCAGTAAAGCTTTAACACTTTTTCTAGTTAATAAAATTTTTGATCATATATTTCTTAGGGAAGTTATTCCTGATCATGCTGAAGAATCTATCCAAGGAGACTAATGTTATGTGCCTTGTAATGCTGAAAAAATATGCTTGGGTATCTTTTTAGCTGAAGTACTTCAGTTCAAGAAGTTTGGTGAATATTTGTCATCTTCATGTGTCTAAATACAAACTTATTGTGAAGTACAGGTCTGAACTTTTGTCTCTAGACCTCACAAACACACTTTTAATGATACTAGTTTTTATACAATGGAGACTTTTTTACAAAGCTTTATGAGACTCTGTGTTGATTTTGAAACTTGAGTGATCAAATTTCTAGAAAATCTGAACTTTATTTTTGGCATTCAGGTGACCTTGTTTATTTGCAGTTCCCTAGTTTTGTAAACTTTATGCTGACTTACTAATGTTAAGAGCCAAGTTGGACGTTTTTTACTCATTTATACCTGGTCTTTACAGACTTAATTGCAGAAGCTGTAGCCTGCATCCTAAACCATCAATGTTTATCTGATACATAGGCATCTATCTTAAATGCAGTCGTGTTCAGTTTGATGGATGCTGGGAGTCTTTCCATTTCTCGGGAGGTAGTCATTATCCAAAAAGCACGTACAAAGAAATTATATTCACTGCTTGATCAGAATCAACTATGTGCAAGTGTTTCCATCTACTTTCTTAGAAAGTGTTTTCTTTAGATTGCTGTTTTATTTCATGTGAGGTTCAATGCTGCCATTTCAAAATTGGACTCTACTTGAGAATTTTCACCTGATTTTGGAAGCATGTATGTTCTTTAGTGCATCCTGAAGTGTATCTTCAGATTTCTCAGAAGATGGGAAGTACTGATGTGAGAGTTGCACTATGTGCCTGCTTAGCTTAATCTCTGATTTTCAAGAAGTGACCAGTAGGAAACACTACATGAATGAGTCTGCTACAGAGTAATGCTTCACCTGGTACAGTCTTTTATTTTCTAGCAAGTAGCAGGGAGTTCAGCAGAGTCTTTGAGTCAGAGTTGTATTGGGGTCATCTTTTTTTAATAGCCACCAGTAGCTATGGCTTAAATGAATGTCTAATACATTTTTGAGTCCATTTATACTTTTGATTTTTGAAACATCCTATGGCAATGAGTTCTAGAATGAAGAGAACATTTTTTTTCTTCTCTCTCTTCTCCCCGCTGCCTCCCCAGACCCAATGTGTGATGATTTTATTGGGCATCCCAGTAGTTATATTTTGAGGAATAGTGGATATTCATTCTTTGTGTGTTTTCTCTGGACTTTTTGCGATTTTTATCAACCACTGTAGCACAGTTCTAGAGTGAAGAATCTGAATTTTTCCCTGTAAGAAAGCTACATTGCACCTTGTCTTTTTTTTATGTCTTTCCTAGTTTTGCTGTGTTCTTTTTTAGATGGTACAACCATAATTTCATTAATGCTCAGTTAGTTCATGGAGAATTACAGTAAAGGAATACTCTGGTGAACATCTACTTATTATTTCTTTGAACAGCAGGTATGCAGTCTTTTAAAAGTCTTGGAATCCTAAATGTGAAACTAATGTAGGTTTTACGCGTATCTGATAATTCATAAGTGGTAAATACAGCGTTTAATATTTTAAAAGTTTAATTCCACTATTAAGGTATGGTACTTTACCCGTAGATGGTTTTACCTTACAGATAATCAATCTGTATATTTTATTTTCAGGAATCTGAGAGACTGTGTGACAAGCTGCTTTTAAAACAAAGGATGAACTTGTTGTCCCAGATGTCTGCTAGTCCAATAGACTGCTTATTTAAGGTTAGCAACTTTTATGGCAGAATATGTATATACTTACACACTGCATGTTTATATTCCTTTGTTTCTGCAATTTTCTGAAATGTAATGCGGTGTCAATTACGTTAGTACTGGCAAGTGTGTTTTAGTAGATGCTAAAAGTGTGTTTTGAATCTAGTGTGGTTTGGTCCCAAAAATGTTACCAAGTTAATATAACCTTGCAGATTTCAGCACATGATACATGAAATATGGAAGCAAATGAGGATGAAATGCTGCTGCTGTTGGTATTGATTGGCCCATTTAATGCACAGATGTGATATTACTGTCTGGTCTTTCACAGCTTTTAGTGCTTGAAATTGAAAGAGTTTTCTGAAATAATTTAAATGTGGTCACCTGACAGCTAGTTCATATTGTATGTTAATTTCATATTGTCATTCCAAAATAATTTTGCCTTTACAAGGACACAAAGCAAAGCTTATAATTATATGTGTTCACAGCTTATGGCTAGAGACTTAGTAATTTTATAGAAATGTTTTTGCAGAGAGGGAGCTCAATTTCGTGACTGTGTCTAAAGAGAACAATAGGAATTGTTTTAATTTTTTATAGAACATGAAGCAAGCCAAGAACAGATTCTTTTTAATACTAAATGCCCATTGGGGGTTTTGTGCTGTGACATTGTTCATTTCTGCTTTTTAATGCTTGAATACACGTCTTTTATCATCGGTTCGTTTCATTTTGTGTTTTAGTAAATGACTGTTTTTCATGTAGGTTTTTTTTTTTTCTTAAAGGGAGACTTTTTATATTGGTTCCTCCTTCTGGTTTTTCTCTTGTCTTTTTGTAGCATATTGCTTCAGGTAATCAGGAGGAAGTGGAGCGATTACTAAGTCAAGGTGACAGTGATAAGGACACTGTACAGAAAATGTGTCATCCACTCTGTTACTGTGACAAATGTGAGAAGCTAGTTTCTGGGTAAGCACTTTTCATTTCCACAAATACACAAAAAGCTATGTAAAAGTCTTTATCTAAGATTTACTTTAGAAAGTATGCTACTTTTGGTTATGGAGGAAGTTGATAGCACTTCAGTATGTAGTAGAGAGCGTACGTTTATGTGATTTGAAAAAACAGAAGAAATATTAGGAGAATGCTGAATGCCTTGGAACCAGTCAATTTTTTGATGGAGTCTGTATGTCCTTTGGTAAACATGGTGTGAAATGTTTCTTCTCTTGACGCTAACTTACACGTCTTGGACAAAACCACATCTCTTAACAAAATGTGAAACTCTGTATAGAATAGTTTGTCAGTGTGAAAGGATAAAGGATAAAAAGTTCCAAAACCAGTTTTTTGTTGGCCTTGGCAATTTTTCTCTTTCTCTCCTCCTTACTGCTGCTGCATAGGTAACTGAGCTGCTTTTAAACAATTGTGTTTTAAAGGAAACTGAATGATCCTTCCATTATCACTCCATTTTCCCGAGATGACCGGGGATATACACCACTTCATATAGCTGCTATTTGTGGTAGGTATTGTTGGTTTTCTTCACTGGTGTTTTTTATTCCTTATGTTCCTTATCTTCATGGTAGCATGTTTTCCAACTTTCCATTAAAGAGTGAATTTTGCATTGAATTGTTTTCTGCTTATTTGCTATGGAAACGAGTGTCTTGGCATGGACTGAAGTTAGTGTATATTCTTTTATGCTCAGTTTCTTATGGCTAAGTTATTGTTTGTTTGTTGGCTGGCTATTTACTTTTGCCTTAGTGGTTACCACAGTAGTCCTTTCTTCAGCTGTGAGAAAAGCAAAAATGTGTCATCAGAAACCAGACTTGTTTTAAAGAACTGGCAGATTGAGAAATGAATCTTTACTTTCTCCTGGCTATGCGTGTTAGATCTGTACCATCTCTTCTGTTGTAATGTTCATTACGCCATTCGTCTTGCATTTATTAGAAGATCTATTAATTTTGTTAGTGATTTTTTTTATCACTAATTTCCTTTTTTATTATTATCTCGAATCCTGATAGAGAATGCTTTGTGTGATATGGCTTTGTTTTCTCTTCTTACTCATAAGATGCAAGCATAGCTTGCTTTTAGCTGGAGGTTCTTTTATAGAGCTTTGACCTTGAGTAATCTGCAACAAAAAAAACAAGTACCAATGAAGTGAATATACAGTATACAGAAACATAGTATGCAGAAATGCAGGGTGTCTTGGTTTATAGTTCATGTTTGAATTTGAAAAGTAGCAATGTTCTTGTGCAAAGTTTACTTCTTTCTTTTAATGTCTGCATATTTTTCAAGGGCAAACATCGTTAGTGGATTTACTAGTAGCCAAAGGAGCCATTGTCAATGCTACAGATTACCATGGTTCAACGCCACTTCACCTTGCCTGTCAGAAGGGGTATCAAAACGTTACAGTAAGCACCAAAAGGCTTAATTAGAAAGAAAAATAAATTCTTAACATAAATAATAAATAAATTACTCTTACTAAGCTGTTCTACTGTTACTGTCACTTAGGTCTTCTGAGAAGCTTTTTACTGTGTACGCCGTCAGAATTGAGGATCTTTTATCATTGTAGTTTGCATGATATTTTATTTTTTCCTGTACTGCAAAGTTTTCAGCCATTTGTAATAACCAAGCAATTGACAGCTATGCATGCCTGATAATTCAATTTTGTTAATAAAAATCTCTAATACTAGTACAAATGGAGAGCCTGTTAACATCTCTGCTCTTGATTAAGACAGAAGACATTGCAGTCATTGGAAAGAATTAAATGACTTCACATTGTGTTTAGGATGGACTGTATAACTGCATTAATTATTGTGTACTTGAATTTTATATATGTGAGATTCTTCAGTTAGCAATGTTGAAATTAAGCTATGTCTTCGCTTACATGGGCTCTTAAAATATAGTATAAATTATCTTGTGTTATGTATATTGCAGTGTTTGCTGCAGTAGATTTTTTTTCAATGACAACTCTGAATATGTAAGAAGCAGCTTTTATTTGGTTCTTAGGGTAGGGCAAAACCAGTACTCTAATGCCAGGAGGGTAGTGCCTGAAACAGGAGAAACAGGTAGTTTTTCATGAAGTGCTTCATCATGCTAGAAACCTAAAGGAATATACAGAGTAACAATTGTTTGTCCATTAATTTTTTAGTTACTTAAATGTCTACTTTTATTTTTCTTTTAAGCTTCTTTTATTGCACTATAAGGCAAGTACCGATGTTCAGGACAATAATGGAAATACTCCACTTCATTTAGCCTGCACTTATGGTCATGAGGATGTAAGTAATTCTTTTGTGATAAACTAAATGGACATTCTAATGGAATGGAATTAAACTGTGATGCAAATTTGCGCTAAACTTACATATTTTAGAAAGTAAATAAAAGATATTTATTAGAACTTTATTCAGTAGTTCATAGCAATTTTAATTATGCATTCACATTAAAAATAGTAGCGTTGTGCAAATTCAGTTGAGTTATTTAACTCTTTGTTTAATGACACTGACCCATAAAAGCTTGGTCTTTAGGCAATGCATTATATGAGCAGCAGTGAAAAAAAACTTTTTAGGATTGCCTATGCTATATGAGTTGAGAAACAATACTATAATTTATTGATAGCTTTCCTTTTCTTTCCAGTGCGTCAAAGCTTTGGTCTACTATGATGTGCATTCCTGTAGACTAGATATTGGTAATGAAAAGGGAGATACTCCTCTCCATATAGCTGCTCGTTGGGGCTATCAAGGGATCATAGAAGTGCTTTTGCAAAATGGGGCAAATCCAGAAATTCAGAACCGAATGAAAGAGACTTCCCTACAGTGTGCATTAAATTCCAAGGTATTCTTCTTTACTTTATAAACTGATTCGTTTCTGATGCAGTTCTATAGAGGTGTAGATGCTTATCTGCTAATAGAATTTTGTGGTCTGGTACAATTAAAGTGAAAATGTGTGTTTCACTTTAAGGAGGAAGGGTCACATTTTAAGTCTAATAGCGTGATATAGTCTGTGGTATACAACATAAACTTGTAAATGGGTACTTCTAATCTGCTTAGTCATAATCTGTTACTAATATTAGGTTATCGGCTAATTTGTGTTTTGGTCAGTAGATTCCTCTTCAAGTGGAGTTACATGGGTTCTCTTTATTAATATTTTTATGCAGATTTTGTCATTGATGGAATTAAACTATCTAACATTTGAAAGAGGACAGAGTGCTTCTGAGGTAACAACCAATACAAGTTGCTAAACTTTTTTTTGCCTATGTTTAACCTGCTTAATCTGATATGTAACTTTTTCTGGGTGTTTTTTTGGTTGTCGTTTTTGGGTTTTTTGGTTTGTTTTTTTGTTTTCCCCAACTTTAAGTCACCGCTTAGGTCTCCCCAGCGCTCAACAGAAACTTTCAGCAGAGGATCATCTGTCTCAAGCCTGTCATCAACATCAACTGATACAAGGCAAGAAGAAGTAAAAAGTAGTTATAAAGAGGTAAGACTGAGGTACAAGTTTTGACAATAAGCAAAATGAAGGAGGCCAGAAGAGTGATATTTTGCAACACTGTTTTAAACTGCTTCAGGAATAGCCTTCTGTCTGGTTTGGAAAATTATATGCTGCTGTCCTCAGGTGCTTGTCATCTCAGTATATAAACACCTATTTTGGTATGGTGTCAACTGCTCTGCTGGTTATTTCTGGGGGAAAATTGAAACCGTGTTTGGAGTAGTTGACCAGATTTACTGCAGTTAACTATATAATTTGAGAATTCTTTGAGGTTTACAAAATTATAATGGCAGTCGGTGCTCCAAGGACCTTGCTGTCCTGTCCAGTAATTAAATGCCATTGTTAGCTTACAAAATCTGTCAGGGAAAAGAGACTAGTACAGGCTTACGTGCAAACAATTTGACAAACAAGAATGTTAAGACAAGCTTTTAAAATAGGCATAGGAAATGAATTTTATGACGTGTGAAGAAGTATGCACTATATATTAAATGTCTTGCATGTATGTGGGTGCTGATTTTGCTCTGTCCACACCAACCAAGGTGCCATCCTCTGAATTTTTTTATGTGAGACCCCAGATCCATACTTTCCGTTTATCCCCTCCTAAGACTGTCATATCACCACTCCTTCTGGTGCTTCTCTCTATTTTTTCCCCCAGTCCTCCTGTTCCATTTTTTTCCAAATTGACCATTTTAGTATTTTTGTTTCTGTCTGTATCACCTCTACATTGAAAATCTTCTTTTTCCTGCTATTAAAAGATTGCCAGAAGTTTCTGTTTTATAAAAATGTTCAAGAAACTCAAAGATGTGAAGTTTGACTGGACGATATTATTTCACACTTCATTATCGGTTACTCTGACAACCTCAGTGTAAGAGTGTACCTCCCTGTTTGTCAAGCACTCTAAATAAGGCCTAATATATGTAAAAGTTCACCTCGTAGATTGAGGATTCAAGGAACAAATTTATCACACCCAAGAGCTAAGACTGTAGTTCAAACCAGGCAAAAAGATTACAAGCGGTTTACACCTTAGATTCTTGGGGTTAATGACCTTCTATAATCCAGCTTTAGGTCATTTCTGTTTGCCAAGTTTCACATGGGATCGCTGCTCTTATTCTTACTAAGCAAAGAGGCAAGGGCCTAATCCTGAGGGAGCTCCATGAAGGGAATGCCACTGGATGTAACAGGAAGCTGATGAAGTCGGTTTTTGCAGACCTCAAGGCTTAGACTGTGGATTAGATCTTTATTAATCAATACTACTGGTGAATTAAACTCTTCACTTAAATGGGCCAGTCATGGTCTATATCTTGTATATGGCTTGTTTACAGCTTAGAAAAGAGAGAGTAACAGAGCCAGGCATGTACATTTGGAACTTCCTGTGTTGGAACTAGTAACTCCTTGCACAATTTCTGTTCAGCAACAGAAAAACTGAGCGTGCAAGTGAATTGCAGTAGGTTTGCTTCATCTATTTTTGCATTTAAAGGAGGGTACTTCTGTTCCATGGAGAAGTGAGAAAGCAAACTGGAAAGATGGGGAAATGCACGTAACAGACGTTTTGCCCTAAGTACTCTTAATGAATTATCTATAAGCTGCATAACAGATGTTGTACGCTTCTCCACTGCTAGGGCCTGAGGCAGTTTTTAGAACTGTAAGGAAGTTGTTATTTTTGGAAAGAAATTATCAGAGCTTGTGGGTCACTTGCTATTGCTGTTAGGCACCTTGTATGTTTTGAGACTGACTCCTGAAGAACATCGAGACCTCTACATTCTTCAGTGACGTTATCCTATATGATTAGGGGAAATTTATGGGACACACAGATCTCCCCAGTATATATAGACCATTTTAGATGTATATGTGTAGAGATTGGGATTTGGCTTGCCTAACTTCACATGTCTGAAAGACAATTGTCTTAACTTTAGACATCTATTTTTCCTCCTTAGTGGAGAGAAATTGGTACCTCCAGAGAGAAATTAATCTCAGACATGCTTAGTTTGGCCTGAGTTGCACTTGAGTGTCATTTGTTGACTGCATTTTGTTCTGTAGTTACCAGAGAGGGAGTTTAAATGACTGGCTTAGATTTAGACAGCTAAATTTTAGACATTCAAAGTTAGGAAAGAGGAATCCTGCTTGAGTGCCTAGTGCATGACTTCAAGGAGCTTCGTCCTGTATTAGAAAGGAAGTAATAAAATAAAACTTAGTAGCGTTCCTAATAAGAGATAAAAATGGATTAATAGAGTTGATCTAGCCTCCGATCTTTCAGCTGTAGATGTGTCCTGGGTTTCTGTTAAAACGCTGAAGAAAGAGATCAGACCAGTAAAACACTTCCTTTTGGTCTCATTCTTCCTTGTTTGCTGTACCAAACACTACTGTCACAGTCAGCAAGACAGTAATTTCTAGAAGAAGATTGAAATTTGACTTTAGCTGTTACTCTATGTCATGTTCAACTTGCAAGTTGTTTCTTAATATTGAAACAACTTTGTTTACACAGCATCTTCGGTGTTTCTAGCACAGTGCTAGAATAATTTGCTATAATGCTGAAACAGACTTTCACAAAGCTTATTAAATGATTCTTCAACAATCTGCAGAGGCTGGACAAGTTGCCTATTGATAAAGGACTCTCCCTGCCATTTTACTGGCACCTATCCCACTTCTATCATGTTAGCTCTCAAATCCTTCATGTGAGAGTAGAGAATCAGAGGAGAAGCGGGGAGACAAATACATCTCATTCTCCTGCTTTCACAAGCAATCAGAGGGATCAGAGGAATGGCATCAGAGCGTTGCAGAGGACCTTCCATCTCTTCTTCACCCCACTTGCCCCTTTTCCCCCTGTAGAACTCATAAACAGGAGAATACCTGCACCAAGCAGTGGTGCTCAGGCATGAGCTGGCCTCATGTGGTGGGTTGATCCTGGCCAAAATGCCAGGTGCCCACCAAAGCCACTCTATCACTCCCCCTCCTTAACTGGACAGGGGAGAGGAAAAAAAGTAACAACAGGCTTGTGGGGTTAAGACAAGGACAGGGAGATCACTCAACATTTACCGTCATGAGCAAACCAGACTCGATTAAAGGAAGATGTAATTTATTACCAATTAACTCAGAGAGGAGTAATGAGAAATAAAACCAAATCTTAAAACACCTTCCCACCACCCCTTCCTCCTTTCCTGGGCTTAACTTTGATCCTGATTTTTCTCCCTCCTCCCTGCCTAGCGGCACAGGTGGGAAAACAGGGAATGGGGG